TAAAAGTAAAAAAATTACTTTTTACTATCTTATCAAAATAGGCCTATGTTACTATGACGTTACTTCTATTTATTTATTTATTTTTAACAAAAAAAAATCGTCAAAATATCATAATATCTTTGAGCGCTAACACTAAAATAATTGATTGTTGGCTAAATTTAACTCAATTCAAAGAAAGAGGTTTGCCACGATCCGCTTCTCGTATTTAACGGTTAAGCATCGTGATGGTCAGTAACTAAAGTTACCTTCAGCCAATTTTTAAACAATTACTAAATGCGAGCGGAAAAATATTTAAGTGAGGGTACTAAAATAATCATTAGAGAAAATGTTACGTTTTAGTGTATTTTGGTCTAGAAAAAATATAGAGAAAAATATCATAAAAATATCATAATACTCAGAAAATAACATCGAATAATAATATAAAGTTAAAATTATTTTTTTGAACTCATTTATAATTAAATAATATTAATATAAAATTTAAGGGACAACTTAAATTTTTGGATTGTCACAATTTTTCATCATTTTAAAAATTTCGTCATCGAAATTTGTCATATGTGTAAACTATCCTCTATGCACTCTGATAAATATATATTTGATGAATAATTTGATATAAAATATTATCTCAAAAAAATTTTACCAAAAATAACTCACTATTTATCTGTCAAAAACTGTTTTGGGCCAAAATGAGAAACAATGAGTGACTTTAAAAACTTTTCATTAATTTTGTGAAAGATTATAGATTTGAACCCACTTCTAAAAAGTCAAAATGATTTTATTTTTTTTGTCAAATGCTACGAAACATATAATACAGATTTTTTTTTTTTTTGGTAATTGTTTTTTTTTTTCCCTTCAAATTGTTCAGCATGAAAGATGCATACAATTTTGTATAGAGTAACAAATAACTCATCTTAATTATCATAATTATCTATACCACGATTGTTGCTACACAAATATTTAATTTAAATACAACCTGTAATCTGACTCAACATTTTCCCCATTCTATTTGTGCACGTGTCTTGTGCTCCAATACTTTTATAAAAGAAAATTAAAAACTTAGGCTCTGATAACACTTGTCACAAACCACTCCCCGTATCCAAAGGTTAAGTATTGTGATAGCCAGTAACTGAAGTTACCTTCGGCCAATTCTTAAACAATTACTAAATACGAGCGAAAAAATTATTGAAGTGAGGGTACTAAAATAATCATTAGATCTTTTACTTTTATAACAAAAACTTATTGACCAAAATGCCGATATTTACATATGAAGAATAAAATTATAAATATTATAAAAGTGCTCTGTGTGTCTATTCCACATCCCCGCTTCAAAGACTTTCTAAAAGCTATTTCTGAATTGCATTGTTTTCTGAAAATTGGTAAACAACTATAAGCACATAGCAGAGTGAGAAATATTATACTAAGAGCATAAAGGCATAAAATTCACCATGGATAATTATTAGCTAAACAAAACTTGATATTAAAATACGGAGTATATAATACAGAGATCATTTGACATATAATATAGAAATCATATAAACAAAATAATCATAACTACGGTACAGAACGGAACAAAACAGATGTATGGACTTAAGAGGTGGCTCATACGAACTTTAGAGGTGGTTTCCACCATAGTGTAACACTTAGCTCCGCTTAACACTTTGCTCCACACCAGAAATTATAACCACGGTACAGAACAGAACAGATGTATGGACTCAAAAGGTGGCTCGTACGAAACTCTAGAGGTGGCTCCCACAATAGTGTAACACTTAGCTTCGTATAACACTTTACTCTACACTAGACATTAGGGTGTCAGTGGATCTATGACAGACAGATGGTCACAAAGTGATTAATCAGAGACCCAATGGTTATTTAAGTCCCTCAAGACATGGGACCTCCGTGGTGGTACTTATAAAATAGTTGCTCAAAATATATTTAATAAACAATTATATCCATGAATTTTTCTTATTATATAAAATAAGGTTCATAAATTAAAAAAGTTAATATAATTTGTAAAACACAATTTACATAAAATAAACTATGATAATTTAAAACACACGTAAAATATAGGGTAAATTACATTTACCTCTCTTGAGGTTTCTGACAAATACATGGACATCCCTTGTAGTTTGAATAATTACAGTAACCTCCTCTACGTTACCTGACAATGTCAAGATTCCCCCAAAATTTGACCGCCGTTTATACACCTAACCGACCCTGCTGATGTCATCAAAATGTAAGCACTAAAATGCCTATGATGCCCTCAAGTGCCCAATTCGAGAACTGTCACAGCAGTGTCCGATCTGCAGACACAGACAGCATCAGGGGCAGCAGATGCAGGAGAGGGGGGGTCACACGCACAGGCACCACAGGCAGTCACTGGAGGGCCACATGCAGGGGAGGGAGTGCCAAATATTCAGAGAGTCTACCGCAGGAGACCGAGGAGGGAGGTCCACGGTCGGGGTTGTGGGACTGGGGCCAGGTTAGGGCATTAGCGGTTGTGATATGGACTGTATAGTTTTTTTTTTTTTTTTTGGTAATTGTTTTTTTTTTTCCCTTCAAATTGTTCAGCATGAAAGATGCATACAATTTTGTATAGAGTAACAAATAACTCATCTTAATTATCATAATTATCTATACCACGATTGTTGCTACACAAATATTTAATTTAAATACAACTTGTAATCTGACTCAACATTTTCCCCATTCTATTTGTGCACGTGTCTTGTGCTCCAATACTTTTATAAAAGAAAATTAAAAACTTAGGCTCTGATAACACTTGTCACAAACCACTCCCCGTACTCAAAGGTTAAGTATTGTGATAGCCAGTAACTGAAGTTACTTTCGGCCAATTCCTAAACAATTACTAAATACGAGCGAAAAAATTATTGAAGTGAGGGTACTAAAATAATCATTAGATCTTTTACTTTTATAACAAAAACTTATTGACCAAAAGGCCGATATTTACATATGAAGAATAAAATTATAAATATTATAAAAGTGCTCTGTGTGTCTATTCCACATTCTCGCTTCAAAGACTTTCTAAAAGCTATTTTTGAATTGCATTGTTTCCTGAAAATTGGTAAACAACTATAAGCACATAACAGAGTGAGAAATATTATACTAAGAGCATAAAGGCATAAAATTCACCATGGATAATTATTGGCTAAACAAAGCTTGATATTAAAATACGGAGTATATAATACAGAGATCATTTGACATATAACATAGAAATCATATAAATAAAATAATCATAACCACGGTATAAAACGGAACAGAACAGATGTATGGACTTAAGAGGTGGCTTATACGAACTTTAGAGGTGGTTTCCACCATAGTGTAACACTTAGCTCCGCTTAACACTTTGCTCTATACTATAAATTATAACCACGGTACAGAACAAAACAGATGTATGGACTCAAGAGGTGGCTCGTACTAAACTCTAGAGGTGGCTCCCATAATAGTGTAACACTTAGCTTCGTACAACACTTAGCTTCGTACAACACTTTACTCCACACTAGACATTAGGGTGTCAGTGGATCCATGACAGACAGAGGGTCATAAAAAGGCCAATAGTTATTTAAGTCCCTCAAGACATGAGACTTCCGTGGTGGTACTTATAAAATAGTTGCTCAAAATATATTTAATAAACAATTATATCCATGGATTTTTCTTATTATATAAAATAAGGTTCATAAATTAAAAAAGTTAATATAATTTATAAAACATAATTTACATAAAATAAACCATGATATTCTAAAACACACGTAAAATATATAATAATAACTCAAGATATAATATAACTCATCTTAATGTTAATTTTAATTTTTACCATTTGTTCCCTATGACCTACTAAATATTCCAAACTAAGCCTCCGTTTGGGAAGTGGGTTGGCTTTTTGGCTTTTTGGCTTTTTTGGCTATTTTAGCCTGGGCTAAAAAGTTTGGTTTGGAAAGAGCTTTTTGGCTTTTTGACTTTTTTGACTTTTTTTGTGAGAGAAGAATGTAATGATTGTGGGTTGGATGTGATATTTTATTTTTTGTGACTAAAATAGTCTATTTTATCTTTTGTGACTAAAATAGTCAAAAAAGTCTCGTTTAACTCTTGCCAAACGGAGCCTAAACACAAATTCATAAAACTAACTAGAGACCCGAGAGCGAGGATGAGAGAGTTGGAATTGGTGAGATGCATTAATTGATGGTTATCTATGTATATAGGTGACAAGCATGGGGAACAAGACACTTGCGGGGCAAGTTTTCCTTTTTAATACAAAAAATATTATGTTTTAGCCTATTTTAGTCTAAAAAAAATATTAAAAAATATATAATAAAAATATTATAATACTCAGAAAATAATATCAAATAATAATATAAAATTAAAATTAATTTTTAAATTTATTTATAATTAAATAATATTAATATAAAATTTAAAGAACAATTTAAAATATTAGATTGTTACAAGATCTATCACCCATATAAGAGAAAAATACACTAATCCTAGCACAAATACCCGATTAAATTTAACATATAATCTAAGACAAAATCCACCACTGGAATAATTGTTGACGTGGCATTCTATAAAATTAATAGTATTTGGATAAATAGCTAAAATAAAGAGCATGGTTGGAGTAAAAACATAAAACAATTGATAGGCAAAATAAAATATATACTTTATAGTAATATTTAGAGAGGTAAAATGCCTACTACCGTTGGAGATGCTCTTACAAGATCTATCACCCATATAAGAGAAAAATACACTAATCCTAGCACAAGTACCCGATTAACATATAATCTAAGACAAAATCAACCACTGGAAGAAAAGAGAAATGTACTTTCAAAAATTAAACCCTATTTACCTGTGTGAAAAAAAAAAACAAAAAAAAAGAGTATATTTCCACTCCACCGCCACCGACGGTGATGTTATATTTATTTGCTACCACAAAAATTAAAATAACAAAAATTAAAAATAAAATAAATAAGTGAGGATGCGATGCAGTGGCATAAATACAGGTTTGGGCTATAAATACAGGTTTGGGGATGCGTCGTCTCGTCGGATCGTAAGAACTGTTTTTGCAAAACATTTTTGGTTTCTGAAATTTTGTTTTTCTTGTTGTGAGAAAGAGAGAGAGAAAGAGATCAATGGCTTCAGAAGAGGGACAGGTTATCAGCTGCCACACCGTCGATCAGTGGACCGATCTGCTCCAGAAGGGCAATGAATCCAAAAAATTGGTAACTATTTTTCTATTTTCTTGATTTGTTTGGAATTTTTTATTCAATTTTCTGTATTTTAATACTATTATTATTACTATTACTATTACTATTACTATTACTATCTCCTTTGTTTTTTGTTCTTTAATCTCTAGATTTTTTTTTCCATGTGCCTTTCTTTAATGGGTTGTGTTAGTCTCTTGTTTTTGGGAATATATAGCTTGAATCTTGATTAGGGTTTTGTCAAGATGGTTTTATGTTTGGGGTTCCTCTTGTTTGTTTTTAAATTTTATTTGGTTTCAATCAATTTTTTAGTCCTGATTTTATGTCAAGTAATATTCTGTTGATAATCCAACGTTTATGTGAGATTTGGGTGTGATTGCGGTAGGTTAGGGTCATAAAATGTTAAAAATAATAATAATAATAATCTAATTGAATCGAATTAGATGTGTTTGGTGATAAACATAAAAACCCCCAAAATTTACTCTTTAAAAAAAAAAAAATAATCTGAAGCGTCTTTATCAGTTTGATGCTTACTCTTTACAAAAGGAAAAAAAAAACGTGAAACGATTTTTTTGCTCTTTTGTGAAAAAAAGAAAAGAAAGACCTTTATAGTGTATAAAAATGTTTTAAAATATAAAAGAAAACAAAAATAACGAAACATGTTGGTGAGTTGTTGGAGTTGGTTGTCAGCGGCGGTGAAGAGGGTGAACGGATATGATGGCTGGAGGTGGCCGCTGGAGTTGGTGGTTAGGGTGACATGTCGGACATGTGGACACTCATGTCCCTGCCATGTACACAAACACGGCACCCATCTCATGTGTCGGCGCTGCTTAAGGGTCTTCCATGAAATATATAGGTAAATCATCCATTTATAGATAGATCTAGTGATTTTTCCCCCTTTGACACATGATTGAGATCGTTGGCACATTCACACCACAACCCCCAATTTTATTATTTTTTTTAATAAAGAAATCTAATTATAAGGAAGAGGGGGAAGAACAGGCAAGTCTTCTCTTCCCCTTTTATGTTGTGTTGTGTTGTATTGTATGTCTTCTTTTTAAATCTTGTAAATTTTGATGGGACAACCAGAGCCAACTATAATGCTCAATATAGTTTTCTTCCATTTGTTAAAAGCTTGGATACTTTTGTAGTCATTTGCCTGAAAGAAAATACTAAGGACTTATTGGGATAGGTGGTGGTGGATTTCACTGCTTCATGGTGTGGACCTTGCCGTTTCATTGCTCCAATTCTGACAGAGATGGCCAAGAAAATGACTGACGTCATATTTGTCAAGGTGGATGTTGATGAACTCAAGGTAATCAAATATATAAGGCCCTTTTTATGGGTTCAATTCTGACCTGAAAAACTGTATGATCAAATGGGATTATCTCGATCTTGAAATTCCTGTCGCAATTTCTAACAAGAAACTACTTTTTTTCTCTGTAGTCTGTTGCTGAGGATTGGGCCGTGGAGGCAATGCCTACTTTTGTGTTCATAAAAGAAGGAAATATCGTTGACAGGGTTGTGGGCGCGAAGAAAGACGAGCTGCAGAGTACAATTGCAAAGCACGCCGCTAAGCACGCCGCTGCCCCTGTTGCTGTTACTGCTACTGCTTGAGTTGTGTTTATGTTTGAGGAGATGTGAAGCTTGGTACCTTGTCATAGTTGTTTTGTGCAAGTATTTATGAAACTATGAAGTTTTAGTAGGCCCTCTAATGGTTGAATGCATGTACTTATCTCTTACTGGATCTATGTTGAAGGAAATAAATCTATGAATCTTGGTACCTTCTAGGACTTGTGTTTGTTAACTATGGTTTGTTTTTTCTCGTATAAAAAAGGAAAATCATACCACGTGGAAAATCCAACTTGGAATTGAGTGAGAGAATTTTCTGAGTCATCTGAATGAAATTTGTTTATTAGGATTGTCAGTGTCTAGATGTTGAATTTAATAAATCTTTGAGGTTAGATTTGAAATTTTAGGTATAATGCTTACTGATGAGAATTAGTTGGAAAATATTTGAGGGGTACATTGGATTTAATGGGTTTGAAATGATTTGCGATTTGCATTTGATTAATGCAAAGATGATGGGACAGGCCTTGGTTTCAATGAACTTGACATTTGAGAGCATAGTATCAACATGAATTGAAGGAGTGTTTTGGGAAGTTGGTAAAAAATTAATTTTTTAATATTTTTAATTTATTTAGTTTTTTTATAATTTTTTTTTTTTTTTTTATTTTTATTTTTATTTTTAATTTTTTTAAAACATTCCAAAACAGGCGTAACACTCATATATCTTATGGACAAAAATGGTGGTGGATATGATAACTTCTTAGCTTCTATATCTTATGGACAAAAATGGTGGTGGATATGATAACTTCTTAGCTTCTGAGAACCATGTCATGTCATTATGTGATTTAGTTTATATTATTTTTTTATATTTTAATAAGTTTTTATAGGTGATATAGCTATTAAAATATTTTTAATAATATTTATATTTACAGTGTGGATGTTTAGTGATGTCAATGTTCACATATTCTCATCAATGTGAATATTAACATATTAATGTAAATATTTATATTGTCAATGTGAAATTTTAATGGATAATTAATCCATTGAAAAAATCTTGTGTTTGTTTTGAAATTTTATTTCAAAATTATTAAAATTATCTTGGATAATTAATTTTATTTCAAGATTGTGTCTGTCTGTTTGTTTTGAAATTTTATTTCAAAATTATTAATCTAATGGATAATTAATTCAACAAATTTGTAGTATTATTAGTAATGGGATAGAGGTGAGATTATATATCCTAAATTAGGAAATAAAATAAAAAGACTCTTTTATTTACTAATCCAATGCAAATCAAATAATAGATAAGGGGATAATTTATCTTATTAATTGAATTGAATATAAATATCACATTAATTTAATAAAATTATTAATACTTTTATTATTAATCTTATAAATCAAACCTGACTAAAAGAGAGAACAATGCCAAGGAGAATAATTTAAGAAATATCTCAATCATCAGAAAGGTGTGAATGACATGAATTGAGATTGAGAGGCTATCATAGTAGTTCAGACTGGACTAAAGAAATTCCAAATTTTCAGATTTATTTATTTTGAAGTTAGAAATCAGTTCGACAAAAATAAATATTAAAAAAATATTTTTAAAATATTTTAAAAATTATTTTGTTTTAAAAACACAATTATATGAAAATAATGAGAGTTTTACATATATATTTCATTTTATTCACCAAATTAATTTTTTTTTAATTTCAAAAACTAAATTATGAAAACTCAATCAATTATTATTTTTATTATTTTAATAAGTTCAACTTATCATCATGGCTACAGAGAGGTAACGCAAATGGTTAGGGCCTTCTTACCCAACAACTCTTTTAGCGATAGAACATTCATTGTATTATGGCTCCGTTTGGTGCCGTTGTTAAAACAGTTTATAAATTATAACTTAACAGATTATAGATTATGACTTTAATTAGAAGTTGTTAATCTGTTTAGTGTAGTTGTTGGATTATAGATTTAAGTTGCTGAGTAGTGTATGTTTAATAAGCTGTGAAATAGCTTTTTTAATTAAATTTTATTTTTTGTTTGTCTACATTTCTCATAAAAAATAATAATAATAATCTATAGTCCATTTAGGTCTTTTTTTATTTTTAAAAAAATAAAAAATAAAAAAAATTAAGAGTATAACCATAAATTAATATGTCCACAGCAAAAGCTGATAATCAGAAGCAAGGGGTGAGCAGCTTCTCAGAATCAGTTTTTTTGAGTTAAAATAAGCTGCTAGAATCAGAAGCCGTTTGAAATAAGTTTAACCAAACAGTCCAAAATAACTTTTTCAAAACTAAAAGTTATAAGTTAGCTCTGAAAAGCTGGAACAAACACCCCTTATATCTCTTAAGATGATTATTACCCATAAATGTTTGATATAAGTTATTTTGTCTCATAAATTCTAAGCAAAAATTGTACCAAACATTTTCACATAAATTTTCAAAATAAAAAAATTATAAGCATTCTCTATACACATCAACAAGTAGGTAGTGAAAAAAATGAGGAGTTTAAAAACAAGTAATTTAAAATTATAATTATTAATATAAATTTAGATGTAGGTCATGTTTCATTGCTTCGTTATAGAGGGTATAGATATAGTGGTGGCTCTAGGAATTTTTATAGATGCACCTCACAAGCTTAAGTTCTAAATATTCTATAAAATAAAATAAAAAAAAAGGAAAAATAAAAACTTTTAAACTAAACAACATTCTCTCTATTTGGTTTAAAATTTTTAGAAATAGTTTTTAAGTTTTTTATTTTTTGTATTTTGTTATCTTTAGTGATTTTTTTTCATATTGTAATCAAATTTTTTTCAGATGCACCAAAAATGTAAATTCTTTGGAAAAATCTTTACAAATATCATAAATACGAAGAAAAGTACTTTTTTGTATTTAAAAAAAAATCACAAATACTTTCTTTTTTAAATATATCTAGATTAACTGAATCTAAAAAATAAACAAATTTGCTTAAAATATTTAAAAAGTACAACAAAAGACAAAAGAAATACGAAAAATAAAAAATTTAAAAACTATTTTTGAAAATTGTTAACCAAATAGAGAGATTTATTAAACTCTTCAAATAGTGAGTCTCTAATGAGTGTGAATCCCTATTTAATGGGGCTCCTTAATTTTTTTAAAGAATTCAAACCATATTAAATAAACTATGAATAATACAAATATAAAAAAATAAAAATTTTAAGAGTTTTTGTTTGCTTGGTGGCGGGATGGAACCCCATCAGGAACAATGTGCCGTCACCCCTAGATAGATCGTGTTTCCCTTCAAAAGTAATATGCGTTTTGAGTACGGGATAAGGAAATAAAAGAAAAAGGGAATAGGTGTAGTTTGACTTCAACAATAATCTTCTGTTTTTATTACGGGATAAGGAGATGGGGATACGAGATAGAGAATATTGACTATTGCATTGGTGGTGTCTCACTTCAAAACTTATTGGTGGTATAACTTATACTAATTAATATATTAGGAGAAAGTTTGGTATGTTTAGAAAAAATTAAAAAATTAAAAAGTCACTATCTTATTTAAGTTATATCATCTTATTTAAATTACATCGCCTCTCTAATATATCACTTCGAACTCAACCCAAACCCAACTCATATTTCATAAAAAGTCAAAAAATACACTTATTTAGATCATCACAAACAATCACTAAGTAATATACTAATTATTATTATGTCATTATTATTGACCATATCTATTAATTAAATTACAAATATCTAAAATTTTTAAAATCATATCACATCTGTTAATATATTAATTAATATACTAATTGTCATATATAATATAAGTCAACCTTATATTCTTTTTTATTACGGGATAAAGAGAGAGAAGGAAAGCGCGATAGATGTGGTCTGATTTCAACCGTAATCTTTTTTTTTTATTATTTTATTACGGGATAAGGAGATGGGATACAGAAAGGAGAATATTGAGTTTTACATGTTTTTATTCAATGTTTATTTAATGCACTATTAAAATTCTTGTGGAGGTTTAAATGGGAAAAAATAGAAATTAAGTAATAATATAGGAATTGTTGTATTAGGAGGATTAGTGTTTGGTTTGTTTTTGAGAGAGTGATTTTTTTTAAAAAAAAATTTGAGGAGAGAGTTTAGAATTTTTTTTGATTTGTTTGGTTGTATATTTTGAAAGTAGTTTTCGAGTCTGAAATAATTTGATATTTTGTTATAATTGAGTAGATATGTGTGAGAGAAAAAGTGATTAAGAATGAGAGAGGAAAGAGAAAAAATGATTAATTAATATGTAAGAAAGAGAAAGTGATTTTGAAATTTTTTTAAGAAAAATCACAAACCATACAAAATTTTAAAATTTTTTTAAATAAACAATTCTCCCATAAGCAAACCAAACAACTCACTCTGGAACTCTTTCATCAAATGATTAAAAATAATTATATGTTTCTATGACATTTTAACCAAACAAAATAGATAATATAAAGTGACAAAACCATCTCTTCTTCGTGTGCTCAATGATCAACTTTTTCTTCTTCTTTTTTTTCACTATTTATATCTAATGAGATGTAAATAAAAATTACACTAAATAATTTGGCATAGGTTCTGAAAATAATTTTTTTTTAAAAAAAAGTTATAAGTAGTTTTCATAAGCTACACCAAACAATCCCATAATGCATCACTTATTTTGTCTGAATAATTTATTCCATCTATTTATGTCACAATATTACTTATCTCCTATAATCTTATATATCAAAAATTTTATCCCATCTAATCTGATAGTATAACTCATTCCTCAAATCTATCAATAATATATTCATATTCAATTGCATAAAAAATAAAAAATAAAAATTGATTACCAAATGCTCCCTTAATGAATTACACGTCATTTGGGAACCTCGCAAAAAAAGTTAATTTTGTTTAAGAAGAATTTAAAAAAAAATTAAAAGATCGTTAAGTTGTTTATCATCAACTAAAAAATAACGATGGTGCTATATGCACCAATAAATGTATTAATTAGTTAATATATTAATTAACACATATAGCATTATTTAAAAAATAAATGCTACATCAACTTTTTTACTCACAAATAAAAGCATATTAAGGTCTTGTTTGGGAACCCTCTCTTTTAGTCAAAAAATCAAAAAATTACTAAATTAGCCAAAAAGTAACAACTCATACAAAAAAGTCAAAGATTCTCTTTTCTTTCTACTTTTTGTACATCTTTTCGTAAAAAGTCAAAA